AATATATATAAGCAAACCAGTGCTACCGAGGGGGGAAGGCGGGGGTGGGGAGGAGGCGCCTACCCCCCCCCCCCTCCCGAGACTGGGTCGCGAAATTTTTGAAAGTTACTTAAACATGTTATAAAAATGTGGAGAGGACTTGTTTCTACTTGTAAATAATTGAAATAATTTTTAAAAATTTTTAAAAATTAAAATTAGCCTTGTAAAAAAAATTTTGGGGGCGTGGCTGCCACCACGCCCCTTTTTTCTTAAATTTTTGGGGTCAGGGGCCCGAAAAAATTTTGGGAAGCATCCCAGAAAATTTTTCGGAGTGCGTGGCTAGCGTCACGCACCTTCATCGGAAAAAAAATTTTGTCGTTCCCCCCCCCCCCCCACCCCGAACGGAAATCCTGGGTACGCCACTGAAAGAAACCTATCTTTAGGACGTTCATTGTACGGTGGAATAGCAGAAATACAATTCTGACAAAAAACTTCATGGACGATGTTCACTGGCACATACTCATGGTCGGCATTGATGATCTTATAGGACTCATGGATGTGGATGATATCTGAAGAGGTACAATTCCTTTCAATGACAATGAAATTATTGCTGGAAATAAAATGCCGTGTTAATATTTGATGCAGGCAATAAAAGAACATGTTGTCAGACAACATGTTGTCACTGTTGCCCAGTTCAACCAAAGAATGTGCCACAGAAACTTTACTTATATTACAGGGAATTTTGGAAAGATCTATTTGTTAGTTAAGATGACGTCAGCAAGAATATTATAGGCGATGAGATTTGAGCAGTTTTCAAGGTGTTCAACACCCTCCCACCTGCAGTACAAACTCGCATATTTCTACGATGGGGCATTTCATTGTTTACTTTTTCTTACATCTCATAGAGGAAGGTTCACTCAGTATTATCTATACCCTCGCAAAGAGGTTCGAGCAACCGGCTGACTCCAAATTTACGTATGTTTTCCACGTCTCCACCTTGGTATAAGTCTCCTTCATTACCAATTCATACCATTTCATACCAATCCCTTTGTTAGAGTACAGATAATACTGAGTAAGCCTCCTTTTACACAATGCCCAAAAAAGTAGGTCATGAAATGCTTCCATCGCCGACTCAGACGGTCGGTGCCGTAGCTCCGGAGGACAGTCGAAATCTGGCAGAGCCGCGGAGGACCCAACTGACCATTGAGAGCGGGGCGAGGGGGCTGTCCCTTCTTGTAGGTCACGGTGACGCCACAAGCAGGCGAATGGGACCCCTCTCCGGGACGCGCAAATCTCTGCTCCGGAGGTACGCCAGATTTGGAAGAGCCCCGGAGCAGAGAGCGCTCCGGAGGTACGCCAGATTTGGGACACCCCCGGAGCAGAAAATGGCAGAGCTCTGGAGCACAAATGGGAGGACTCCGTAGCATAAATGGGAGGTCTCCGGGACACAGAATGGGAGGGCTCCGGAGCACAGATTTGCGCTCCGAAGGTACGCCAG